AATAAAATATTTTTCTTTAATGCCTATGTTGCTTGTTACATGATATGTCCAGATCAACTTTATTGTCCCCTGAGAGAAATTTGGGCATCAGTGCCACACAAGGCTGCAGTACAAACAATAACACATATAGATTTCACAACCGCACACAACATACAGTCTGTACCAAGCAATTACATTGCATTGCACATTGCAGCAAAACGCTGTCACAAATTTCTGTCCTTTTCATTACTGTTTCTGGCGCTGTACAACGCAACTGCCCAACAACTCTCCCCCCATTGTGTCTGCGCGGACAAGAAACCCGAGCGAGTGTGTTCACAGAAACGAGCTTGCGATCCGGTGGATTTCAGGCGTAAGAAAGGGAATCTATGAGCAGAAGAGGTAGAGAAGAAGCCACGTGTTTAACTTTGGCTTTTGTGGCTACGTCTTGCAGAACTGTAACAACAGCTGCTCAATCCCATCAATTCCAACCTGAGTGTACGACTAAGGTCGTTTTTAAAAGATATTGTGATTGTGCATTAATTAGGCCTATTGACTAACCCAGAATATGATCAGATATGTCCTAAATGTTTCAGGGGAAATGGAAATGATGTAACTGAAAATCAAAGCCAACTTTAGCTCCGTTTCAGGTTTTCTATTTAATTAACCTTTCTCCTTTAATACTACTCCATCCATTTCACTAGCCAGTCGATTCACTCATCAGGCGCTTCGTTTCTTGTAGCACAGCAGCACTTTCATTTATTTCATCAGAAGCAGTTGTGAGATCAGCTAGAACAGCTGGCAGGCTGTGCTTGAGTCCTTAGTGCAGTTGACTGACTTGTTTAGTCATTTGCTACGTTTAATTGTCAAATATTTGGAATAAACACTGAATCACTTAACGACCAGCCTCATGTGACTGAATAGAAACGACGATAAATTAAGTATAAAGTGTTTCCTGACGTATTCTCAGACTGACTTTCTCCATAATGAGTTACTGGGTGAAATAACAGAAATGAGAAATCTGTTTGCAGAAAGTTGAGTGTGGTGCTTTTATGTTCAGACATACAGTGAACAGATTTAACTAGACAGGGAATCATAAAACAAATAAAATATGTAACTTGGTGGTGACACACTTTTAATCTGTTATCTGACTTCTGTTGGTCTGAAACTCCACTGATGTGGGGCATCACACATTGGGTCATGTGTTTCAGTATTTTTGTTAAGGAAGCACCATCTCATGGTGACATCCTGCAGCTGAATGAAAGGGGCTTGAACGGGCGTGTTTCCTGTGAACCTCCCAGCGGCTGGATAACAGCTGCGGCTCTCTGGATATTTGTGGCTCGTTCTAATGCGTGCAGTCAAACAAACTTTATTTCTACAGACACAGAGAAGTCAGCAGCTGCAGGAAATCAGAACCACTGACAGGAAGTTAAGAGTCAAGTTAAACCACATGTCAGAACTTTCTACAGCAGCAGGATTTAGAAGATGCTGGAAGCTGCTGTCTTTAGATTTTGGACCCGTCACAATTTGTCACATTTTCTGAAGCCACAACAAATCTTGTTTCAAACAAAGAGTCAAAGCTTCTCTTTGTGTCGACTCCTTTAATGAGAACATTGAAAAGGACTCGAGTCCAAGTCTCAAGTGTCCAGCTCAGATTATTCCAGCACCAACCCTGGCAGGATGCAAGTTAAACAGAAAGCAACACATTTAGTGACAGAACAGAAAGCAGCCAGCTGTTAAAATGGACTCAGAGAATGAAGACACAATAAGATTTGATTCAGTCAGACTTTCACAAGAACAAAGGTTTGTTCAGCCTGAACACAAATGTGGTCTGTAGTGTTTTTGTAGTCCCTGTTTATTCAGCGCCTCTTCCTCCTCACTACACACTGGATCAAAGCACAGCAGTTAAACCCAGAGGCCTCCAGTGGACCTGGTTCAGGCCTCTGAAACATCTGGACTCTGTGATCTTTGTCTTCCAGCGTTGACATTTGGAGCAGGTATAAACAGACGTCACGTGATCTAGTTTGTTTGAAGCGTACCGAGTCCTTCAGACGTTGATCTCAGAACTCAGCAGAAACTCCACTTCTTTAGTCTCTTTCCTCCAGGTTCTGGTTTTTCTCGTCTCTCTGTTCATTCCTCAAAGATAAAGCTGGATTTTTCAGTTAAGATGAAACATTTCAGACTTTGCTTTCAGGCTGAACGAACCTCAACAGATTCAAAACCACATTCAGCAACAGAAAATACCAACAGATCAAAATTCATAACTATATACAGTTAACATATTTAAAATCTGGAGAAGACTATGTAAAGGAACCAAAGTCAAGGAAAATGAAATTACCTGTTTAAGTGAAACATCATGTGACCCAGACTTTACTCCAAACACTACACATACAGTATGGATGTTTTCAACATGGGAAGGTGAGGGCCCCACAAGATTTTACCCAACGTATAATGAAGAAATGTACTCTTCTTAAGAAGCAGCTGATAGATGGTCTCTCTAGTAATCACTTCTATCCATATGTGAGAGAAAGAGTCGTTGGAGACCTCCACCCCTTCTGAGATACCTGACAAGACTCACCAAAACAGGACAAATCTACCAAATAAAACTGAAAACGTGTAACTACATTATACTATACAAAATTTAAAAACGGTAAAAGACTAGCAGGAAAAGTATCAATGATATACACTATATTGCCAAAAGTTTTGGGTCACCTGCCTTTACATGTACATGAAGGTTAATGACATCCCATTTTTAATCCATAGGGTTTAATATAGAGCTGGCCCACTCTTTGCAGCTATAACAGTTTCAACTATTCTGGGAAGGCTGTCCACAAGATTTAGTAGTGTGTTAGTGGGAATTTTTGACCATTCTTCTAGAAGCAAATTTGTGAGATCAATCAACGAAGTTGGACGAACAGGTAACAGCTCTGTGCAGGCCAGTCAAGTTCTCCACACCAAACTCACTCATCCGTGTCTTTATGGGCCTTGTTTTGTACACTGGTTCGCAATCATGTTGAAACAGGAAGGGGCCATCCCCAAAGTGTTGTTTCCACAAAGTTGGGAGCATGAAATTGTCCTAAATGTCTTGGGATGCTGAAGCACAAACAGTTCCTTTCACTGGAACTAAGGGGCCAATCTCACATAAGTCCCAAATCGTTTGGCAATATAGTGAATATTGACACAACAATGTATAAATGAAAGAAAATACAAAAATAACTACAGATATAAAATAAAGATTCAATGAAAAATCCACAAAGGAGAAAAATAAGTATTTAGCATAGAAACAAATATTTCAGCCAGCATGGCGGTTCATTTTAGACCTCTGGGAACACATCTGTAATAAATCCTTAGAAACCGCCTCTTTGTTGGAGCTTTTGACCACATCCCATGGCCTTCTTAAGGAGTAATTAAACTCCCAAAACTCTTATTTCAGCTGACAGGGTTAGGATATTTTCCTGTGAACTATTAGAAATCTACATATTGTGCTACAAATAAGCAGAGTGACTGCCCTCTAGTGGTTGAAACCTGGCTACTGCATTACAGCTACAAAGCCCTCCCTCGTCCCCATTTTGGTCTCTGCTGCTTTCTGCCCACTTACATTCAGCTGATACAAAGGGTCAAACAAACTGTAAAACCAGTTCAAGTGGACAGTGTGGACAATACACATAAGCCTGGACCAATGGAGAGGTGAGGGCTCTTTACAGAAAGCTGGCATCAAGGAGGCGAGTGGAGACATCAGCAGAGACTGGAGACAACCATAGATATGTGGCAGGTCATCAAACAACATCGAGCCACCTTGGACCCTCACCAGTTTGTTTTCAGAACCAACAGATCCACAGAGGATGCCATCTTAGTACCGACTTGGCATGGGAATTAAGTAGAGCTGCCCTGATTGCATTTTTCATGGCTGATTCTAATTAAATTAAAGAGTCTGACCTGCTGATTCAGATTTTCTTTATTTCTAACAACTATAATGGTCAGCATACACTAACAATTTTGGATTGGCGTTTAGAAATTTTTTTTCACCTGTGTTTCCATTTCCACAGTAGCAGGTGCGCCGCGTATGGAGGAGGCTTGTTAATTACCAATCAAGACCAGCAGGTCGTCGTTTTTAACTTAATTAACGATTTTTCTGTGCGTTTCGCTGCCGATGTAAATTGCGAGCCTAGTTTCTTCTTCAATCACGGTGAAGAACTTACTCGCCGACATGTTTAAGCGTGTGTCTGGATGTGACAATACCTAGTTATAGTCTGTGCCGCTGTGCGCCGCCACATGTGTAACGTTCAGTGTGACCAGCAGTACATTTGACACAGCTCTGCTTCAGTCGCCATCATGGCCGGTCCAACAGAAAAACGGCCAATTCCAGTCCCAAGCAGATCGATCATTACATCCCTTTATAACAAAAAGCTGCTGATTACAGCATTATATTTTTATATTCCCATTTCTCACCTGCCACCTGAATTGTGTTTCTCTTTATATAAATAAAGACATTTCCACCATTAATTAATGCAGACAATGTCTCCAAAATGCAGGAAATTAAGAGAGTGTTCAAAATCTTCTGGACTACCCAATTATTTATTTCATCAATGAATATTTCTTCAAATTATTATTAGAATATCTTGTCAATATTGTGCATTGTCAGTTCTCCTGGGCTAAGTGTTTTATCTCCACCACTTTAACACCCTTTGGTGACGCCCTTGGGTAGGGTGTGTGCCAAAATGATGATTTCTTGAATTAAAGTCAATGATAATATAATCGTAACGCTATCATAAAGTGAGACTGTCACCTACTGCTGGTGATTCACTGTCAAACAGTGCATCATAAGCTATTTGACTTTTTTGTTTTTGCCATCATTGTTCTTTAATTCAGTCTCAACTTCTGTCAACTGTGCTAATTGCTGATGTTATTTTTTCTGCATGACGTTGGCTGATCCCAAGCTGCTGTGAAAAACACTTAAGAGTATTAGTTGTGTGCTTCATGACCAGGACACTGATTCACTTGAACTGGTACGCTTACCCACAACATTTACTGTATTGCTCAGCTTTATAGGGGTTTGGGGGAATTTTACAGTAGGTACACGTCTTTAAGAGGACTGCACGGATGGATTGGCTCTGACAAATTTGATGAAGTGTGAATGAGTTCGTGGCTTTTAAGGGAACTACTCACAGCAAAAGATTCCCCACACTGTTCACACCTGTATGGTTTCCCTGCAGTGTGAACACGTTGGTGGGTCTTTAACTTACTGTATGTAATAAAAGCTTTTCCACACTGTTCACACCAGTGCGATTTCTCTCCCGTGTGAATACGTCGGTGGATTTGTAAGTGATCAGATCTACTGAAAGACGCTCCACACTGTTCACAGCAGTACGGTCTGTCTCCAGTGTGAACACGTCGGTGGGTTTTTAATTCATCTGATCTACTGAAAGCTTTCCCACAATGTTCACACTTGTGCGGTTTCTCTCCAGTGTGAATGCGTCTGTGTTTTGACATTTGACTTGATGTACTGAAATCTTTCCCGCACAGATCACACTTGTACGGTTTCTCTCCGGTGTGAACACGTCCGTGGATTTTCAGGTTCTCCGAGGTGGTGAAAGTGCTCCCACAAAGATCACACCTGTGCGGTTTCTCTCCAGTGTGAACATGTCGGTGGACATCCAACCTAGCAAATGTGGCGAACGTTTTCCCACACAGATCACACCTGTATGGTTTCTCTCCAGTGTGAACACGTCGGTGGTTAACCAACCTATCAGCTCTAGCAAATGTTTTCCCACACTGCTCACAGGTGTGTAGGTTCTTGCCAGTGTGATGTCTCAGATGAATACTTAAATATTCAGATTTTGCGAAGGATTTGTCACAGAATGGACAGCTGTGACGTCCGAGTCCATCTCTTTTTCTCCGCTTCTGTAGCAAAGAGAGACACAGAGAGAAAGACAGTAGTTAGATGTCATGGTGAAGCTCTTGTTACCAACTTGGGGTTTTAGTTTTGAAAATCAAAAAAACAAAAACAGTACTTTTTCACCCACAATTCTGTTCACAGCAACAGCTGTGAACAGAAGGATTGTTGACGACAGGGCTGGACATTTGACCTAAAATCAGAATCACGATTTATTGAATATTTTACCTCAATGAACAATTATTTTGGTTTGGGTATCTTTTTTTTGCCCTCGTGTGTGTCGCATGTAGTAAGTGGGCAAGCGAATTTGGGAAAGTGAGCGGCAGAACGTGACGGTGAAAGTGAGCAGTAAATGTACAGTGTGGGTCACAGTGTGTCCGTTGATAAAAGTGTCTGTTGTTTTCCCAACTGCTGGAAAGTAACGGCTGTTAGCGCTAGCTAGCTAATATCACCCTGTCCTTCAGACTCCAGTCTGGAAGCTGAGCAGGGATCTCATTTATAAAACTGTGCGTAGAATCCTCAATAAAAGTGTACATGCGCCCAAAAGCCAAATGGCGTCCACCAAAAAGTTACAAAACCGTGCGTATGCACACTTGTAAGCAGTGCTCCCTCTATAAATCACAACTAACTTGAAGTGTTGCGCATGTGAGCGACCTCCTTGTGCGACACCTTAAACGGCCATAGTTGCCTGTAAATGTTCAGTGAAACGCCCCTCATTAATATTAACACGTACTAACTGCATGAAGAAAAAGAGGCAAATTCTGACAGAAAAGCTACAAAACAAAATTTAAATCAACGTTCCTTTTGGTGAAGCTGAAGCATTTTGTTTGGTGGGTAAAAAAAAATGCACTTTCACGCAACGCTTGTGCAACGGAGGAAATGGGTACCAGAGTTTGTAGGAATGTAGAAGCAGATCTGTGTGAAAACTGTGTTACAAAACAGACAGTTAAAGTTAAGATCACAGTGTTAAAAAGTGTGTAGCACAGTAAGACGGTGCCGAAAGGTCAGAAAATGATGAGAGAAGAGAGAGTAAGAAATGTCTGGGACTTTCCCAGATCCAGGTGCAGCAGGAAAGAGAGCCAAGAGATTGTTAACGCTCAGAAACAGAGCTATAAAAGGAGGTTGTTACATGGCTTCAAAAAAAGTAAACCGAAAGCATTCCAGTTGTGTTTAAACATTTATTTAGGCTACACAAACAGCCCACAGCATTTCACTTTAAGCCCACGTACTAAACAAGGCTGCCGATGAGTTAAGAGATGTGACAGGATAACATAACCGAAATGGTAAAATTAGATCTGTTAGATGGTCTGAATTTCGGTTCTGAAACTCTTGCTCCAGTCTAGGTTGCTAAACTGGTTCAGGAACATGTACAGCTGGACTGAAGCCTCGTTTTCCGGCTTGTCAAGACCCACCCTACTCTGCTTCTGATTGGCTAGTAGTCCTTACATAGGTACTGTATGTGCAACTCCCAACAAAGCTCATTTAAGCCGCATTTTCACCAAAAGTACTCTTATCAAGGAACTAAAAGGTTCCTTCAGCCCGCTGTTGTGTGCGTTTCCACCGTGCTCTAAAGACCTGCGACGATTAGGCAAATTAACCACTGACGTAGGCCTACACGCCATACAAAGAGATGCACAGGCATCATTATTTTAACCACTATCCATGAGCAAAATGTATAAATTAACAGCAGATTTGACTGGAATATAATAAAAACTAAAGGCTATGCTTGACCATTAAAGCAGCTTTTTTCTGTGGGAATAAAATGAAGACACATGATAAAGTTCGTTACAAATTTAATAACAAATTGGATGAAGCCATCACGTTCACAAAATAACTCCAGCACAGAGAAAGCAACACAAAAATACTATCACGATAGTTTGGAAGGTTATTAAAACATTTCCAGCTGAGATGTTTAACGAGCTTTATTACCTCTTGTAATCAGCTGTTCCGCTTGTTTTTAAAGAGGAGACCGACCTGGTAAAAAATTTGACAACTGTTTGACAATTTGAAAACTTAAAACTTAATACCCAGGGGTGCTGGTGCAACTAATCGATGTAGTCGACGAAAATCGATTATTAAATTTGTTACTAATGAATTTAATACATCGATTATTACATGACGTCATCGAGCCGTAACGACACTGTCAGCTTAACGGAGTAAAGTTATGTAACAGTAAAGTTACAAAAACAACATCAGAGCTGCAGTAACACCTTCACAACCCAAAACCTCCAGAGAGTGGGAGCACTTCACTCTTCAGTCAGCAAAAAGGTTGTTAACTGCAGCGTCTGCAAAGCTGAGCTCTCCTGGAAACACCGGAGCGTCTGAAGAGGAGGCGCGTAACGTTGTTGCTGTGTGGATGATGAAGACTCATCTTGGTAAGCTAGTTAGCGAGCTAGCTTCCCATTAAAGCCGTGTTACTTCACGCTATGAGCTGTAACGTTTTCTCTACCCTCGACAATTTGATTGTTAATGGCGTTGAGAACTACATTTATGACACAGCGGCCGCGTTCACATTCCAGATGTGCCCTGACTTTACAATCATAAACGATGCATCGCTCATGGCGACGTTCCCAGCTGAAGAACGTGTTGCTGCAGAGTGCGCAAGATTAGCAACACCGGACAATTTCATACTTTCTAAAGAAGAGAAAACAGTTCTCTGTCTGTGCGTGAGGCGGCGGCTAATTCGCCCCAAACTCCCTTAAAAAAAAAAAAATCAGTGTTTTGAGAGTTAGGGGGGAAATATATAAATGTTGTGAAACGCTGTCTACTACAAAATCGTTATTGACCCCCCTGTAAATTCGGCAAATGTAATGCATGACGTTATTCCTTTTTTGTAGTGTCAGTTTGTCCCGGCGTGTTGCAGTACTGCGTGTAAACTGCTCCGTCACTAAACAGCAGATCAGGACTAGATTCAGTGGAACTTTCTGTTACTGCAGCAGAAACTTTCATTAAAAGATGTAGGCAACTTTTGAAAGCAGTATTTCTTTTATTGTAGTGACTGTTTATAGCACATGCCTGAAACAACCTCAAGTTTAATTTAAAAGCTGATAGCTAAATAAGACGCATTCTGTAACTTTGCCATTCATAATCCGAATAGTCGATTATTCGTTTCAATAACTGATATATCAAAAAAGTTGTAGCAGCCCTAACACCCAGTATTTAGCGTAACTCCATCAGCTGTTCCCTGTAAACACTAGAGCCCGACCGAGTTATCATTTTGCAGATATTATCGATTGATATAAGTACAGCCCGACCGATATATCAGCCAGCCGATATCTGTCGATATGAGCTAATTCTATTTAATCAGCATCGGCTGTTTCTAATGGCAGATATGACTTAAAAACAGACTCACCACTTTAATAATAATAAAACAGCCCTCATCACTTCCCTCCTGAAAACATTCACGACTTTCTAACCTTCCCGTTTTTCACTGCCCTCTCCAAGCTTCCTCCAGGCTCACAGCAGCATGTTCAATGTTACGGGAACGTTAGTTGAGAGTTGGAGGCTCCGCAGCTGACAGACGTGATTGTAGATTTATTTCTGAAACATTGTGGCAGTTCTAGCTAACGGTCATCTCGTTTGTCCCTAGATCATCACTTCTAAATATTCTCTAAAATCACGTAACGTTACAGCAGCTAGCGCTGGCCGTTGCTGAATTAGCCACAAAGCTAACGCTGTGTTTATCAGTGGGGCAGCGCTAAAATTGAGACGTTAAACTATAGGTAAACGTATTCTAAGTATATCGGCGAGCAGTTGGTTTGTAGTTTTAGTCGGTGTGTTGGAAATGATTGAACCAGAGCAGACATGTAAATAAACGTGAGCCGAACAAGAATCTAACACTGCTTCCTGCCAGACAAAGTTGCAGGTCCTCGTTTGTTCAACAGCAGGTCATTGTATCGTAGGCGGCATGATGTAGACAGAAGGGTGGTTGTGAAATGGTTACTCGTGGCTTTGGTTAGAATTAGAGTGTTGAGTAAAAGGATGAACTAGATGTGAATAAGCTACATTGAAGTTATGGCAGATTATATGTAAAGTAAAATACACATGCTACATGCTCTCTCACTTTCTCTGTTTACAGAAAAAGTTGCACCTTCCAGCAGCAAATAATTATTGATGTGCAATTGCTAACATGTTAAGTTGTTGAGACTAGTCTATTTTATTAACATAATCCATTTCGGGAACAGGTTTTATAGCCCACATACAGCACAGCTTTCAATGTCGGCCTGTTCTAGGTGTAGTTTGTACAGGAAAGGGGTCTACTATCCAAATCATTGTCAAAATCTTATAATATCTGCTCATAAATCGGCTCTTTTTCACTATAGTATCGGCATCGGCCCCCCAAAACCAAAAAAGGTGAAGAGCTGATTGGCTGCAGAAACTCTGGGCACCTCGGCCAAATGCCCTGTAGAGTTTTTGTTCTCAATCTTAGGGAAATGCTGCTAAATAGTTATGCTGAACTTCCCTGGTCCCTGGTCCAAAAAGGCATAGGTCTCCACTAACCTTTGCCCTTTCATTGATTTAACTTTCACTGGTAAAATAGCTCGCATTGTCTATTCCATATTTATACATTTCTACATTTATTTATGTCGACTGTATGTTTGTCTACGTTTAGCACCTTATCACCAAAGCAAATTCCTCGTTCCTCGTGCGTGTAAAACAATACTTGGTAATAAAGCTCCTTCTGATTCTGCAAGTTATATAAGAATATTAAAAAGAATAGAGAAAAATAATACAACCATTTGCAGAGAAAGAACAATGTTGCAGATATTTACATGTGCATTGTTCAGGGTTTGCGTTGTGCAGACGTACAACCTACTCTCACACCAGTAGTGAGCACAGACAATGCTACATCGTATATAGCCTACACCACTCCAAGCTGATGATAGTTTCTGCACCCCTGCTTCCAACTTCTGTGTGTGTTTGTTAAATGAGTGACTGAAATGAGACATGAGCGACTGTGTGAAGGTATTTCTGTGTCTTTTTGATGCAAGCAAAAAAAAATGTTTTCAGAGCATATTTATCTCCAAAATATTAAGTTAAATTTAAGTTTGTAAGTAAAAATAAACAGGCCTTTTTTTGTGTCACAAAAGTTTTAATTGCTAATTTGTCCTTATTGATCGCAAGTTAGAAAGTTTTGCAGGTTAAACCGTTTTGCAAGTGAGAGAGTTTTGCAAGTTGAAAAGTTTTGCAAGTCAAAAAAAGGTCTAAATAAGAGATTCTATTGGTGGTTTGACTGACCAATCATGGGTGTATTGCTCATTTCAATAGAAATGCTTTTTAAATGTAGTATGGCAGGATTTAATGAATATTTATATTTACTGTTGGCAAGGTCACAGAGTCTGTCTCCTTTTTTAGAATGACATGTATAACAGTTAGCTAGCGTTAGCTGTCTTGGCATGAAGCTTGACTGGCAGACAGACATGACGAGCTAGGCTAATCTTATCTTAATCTGAGCGTCAAACACCTCAGCCTGTTTCCCTTATGTAAGGAAGAACACATGTGAACAGACCGTGGCACAAATCAGACAGACGACATCAACATTTGGACGGTTTACTGACGTTTTGAACTCCATGATGGCGCTCAAAGTCCTCGCTGTGAACTAATCTGCAGGTGGGAGAGGTCCCTGTGAATCATCGAGCAGCTAACGATGTAGCCTGCAAACTACATCCAGAAGCATTTATCTCCATGACGATACATTACGGAGATAAACAAAGTTATCTGAACGTGTTTCCTGGTTTGCAGTCAGCGGATCCTGAAGCCTGCGACACATCTGGGACTGTCACCAGTTAATTCAGCCGCCAGTTAAACTGCCACACGGAACAGGAAGTTAACGTTAGCTTTGTCCAGCTAGCTAGCATGCTAACACCCAGGCAGCAGGCTACATGCTACAAAAGACGACCTCCTCCTCCTCCTCCTGCTCTCCTGCTCCTCTCCGGTTCCGACCGTCACATTAAGTGTGGGTTCTGTAGAGATACGGGGTTCTGATGGCTCCACTGTTGAATCCTGCTACATTACATCTTGTTTACAGTCAATATGAAGCTACGTGTCGGAACCAGGCCGAGCTAACGCCACGTTAGCTTCTTGTTAGCTGCTAGCTGTGTTCATGAACACTGACCTGAACATCGGTGCTATCAGAGCTCGAGCCTGCTGTTTGTCCTCCGGGGACGTTGTTGCTCCGGGGCTCCGGGTCCTGGTTGTCCTCCTCCATCCCGCTCTTGGTCCTGGTCTCTGAGATCCAGCAGGTCTCCTCTGGGACTGACGCGTTGATCAAGTCCTGCGGCCCGCGAGACGTGACGGAAGTTAAAGGAAGTTGAAAACGTAACGGCCTTATTCTCGGTCTACGTAAATCCTCCAGCTGCGGCTAGATTAGAATATTTCTGGTTCAACTATTAATTAATAAGAGACATTATCTTTTAACTTTTAATGACAATATAATATTTTAACCTCTTTATCTTTTATGGGAAATGCATATGGTCTAAAAACAAACCACAAATTCAACGTTTCAAAATAAAAATCAGACATTTTTTGGAAATATTATATGGTCTAAAGAAAGGTAAAGTTAAAAGATAATGTTTTTCTTTAATGCATTTATTGCTTGTTACGTGATACCACCATGTCAAGATCAAGTTTATTGTACCCTGAAGGAAATTTGTCTTGGGCATCAGTGCCACAGAAGGCCGCAGTACAAACACATATGGACTTCACAACCGCACACGACATACAGTCCATACTATACAAATACAATGCATTGCACAAGTATCTGAGACACTACCCCTATCAGTAGCTGATGACTGAAGTAATAAAATTAAATAAAAAATAATAATATTGAAACCACTAATGATTCTGTTCAAATTGCACTTGAGCTCATATAACTAAATACATCAACTTATCATGTATATAGTTGTCGTGCTTATTTATCTTGTAAGTAAATAAATAAATATATTAAGGGTCTATACTTAAATGGTGATATTTATGAACATCAAAATGTATGTTTTATGTGTTTTATAAGGTGAAAAACCTGCAAAGTTGACATCATGTGATCATTAAAGTTTCAAATACGTGCATTTAACACAGGCTTACTAAAACTTGAAAACAATTTTTAGTGTCACATTTGCCTATGTAGTTTAATAATAACTAATTAGTAACTGAAATATGTCTCTGCAATATCATTTGAGATTTAAGTTTGTCAGTGTAATTAATGCAAAACAATATTGTGCACAGTCATCCGTCTACGCCGCTAACTGACGTACTGGCCTGGTGTGGGAACACATTTTGACAAATAAACGCCTGGTCTTGTTTTTATAGAAGTTCTCTGGATGTGTAAAACCTCTTAAACCCTGCGGGGTCGCCCGCTTTAGCTGCTTAGATCGTTAAAACAAATATTCATGTTTAAATGTATGATCAATTTATCAATATGGCCATGCTGAACATCGTTGGATCGGTTAGATTCTCCACATTACCAATGTTAAGTTCATTTAACTGAAACAAAGAGACCCAAAGTCTAACTCTTCTTGATTTAGCGGTGTAACCTGCATGGCTACATTATATTCCTTTAGTCTGTAAGGGTCCAACGATCAAAAGAATCAAAACAGCTTTTCATAAGAATGTATCCAAGCTGTGAATCCTGTCATGTGAAGTCCATCGCTCTCTGTCTGCTAACTTCTGTCTCCTGCACCTCGTTGTTGTTTTCATTAGGTTGCTGTCTTCAAAATAAAAGCGCATAAGCCATCTGTCGGAGCTAGATCAAATGAATGATGTGTATTTTATATCATTTGATAATTTTTACATAATACATCTGTTTGAAATAAATAAACTGTTTGATAGTAGTTTCAGTTTTGTGCAAAAAGAATTAAAGTCCCATATGGACGCCTGTCCCAAATAAAGGCAGGGTCAATTCAGTGATTTTAGCACATAAAAGCCAGGGCTATTATTCAAAGTTTTACAGTATACCAAAACATTTTAGTATGGATTAAACAGATGGAACCAGATCCCGACATGCATGATGTATGTCGAAAAGTACCTTCACACTGTAAAGATGCATTGTAGACAAGTATCTTAATCTCTCCAATAATGACAGCAGAGAATAGAGAGTCTGACCCAGAGAAACAGAGAAGACATTTAATGCTAGAGAATAATTGTGGAGTCCAACAGAAAAGCCTTTCTCAGCCTTGAGCCACAGTGCAAACTCCTTTCTCACAGGAAAGCATGAAACAAAACAATCTCACAGAAGGTCATTATATCAAAACACTGGTACACTTTGTGGAAATTATAACACCACATAAGATGAGCAAAGAACATAAAGGATTATTAAAAGTATATACAGTGAGGAAAATAAGTATTTGAACACCCTGCTATTTTGCAAGTTCTCCCACTTAGAAATCATGGAGGGGTCTGAAATTGTCATCGTAGGTGCATGTCCACTGTGAGAGACATAATCTAAAAAAGAAAAATCCAGAAATCACAATGTGTGATTTTTTAACTATTTATTTGTATGATACAGCTGCAAATAAGTATTTGAACACCTGTCTATCAGCTAGAATTATGACTCTCAAAGACCTGTTAGTCTGCCTTCAAAATGTCCACCTCCACTCCATTTATTATCCTAAATTAGATGCACCTGTTTGAGGTCGTTAGCTGCATAAAGACACCTGTCCAGCCCATACAATCAGTAAGAATCCAACTACTAACATGGCCAAGACCAAAGAGCTGTCCAAAGACACTAGAGAAAAATTGTACACCTCCACAAGGCTGGAAAGGGCTACGGGGAAATTGCCAAGCAGCTTGGTGAAAAAAGGTCCACTGTTGGAGCAATCATTAGAAAATGAAGAAGCTAAACATGACTGTCAATCTCCCTCGGACCGGGGCTCCATGCAAGACCTCACCTCGTGGGGTCTCAATGATCCTAAGAAAGGTGAGAAATCAGCCCAGAACTACACGGGAGGAGCTGGTCAATGACCGGGGCCATGTATTGCCAGATTTTGGGGAACAGCCTCCTTCCCTCAGTTAGAGCATTGAAGATGGGTCGAGGCTGGGTCTTCCAACATGACAATGACCCGAAGCACACAGCCAGGATAACCAAGGAGTGGCTCTGTAAGAAGCATATCAAGGTTCTGGCGTGGCCTAGCCAGTCTCCAGACCTAAACCCAATAGAGAATCTTTGGAGGGAGCTCAAACTCCGTGTTTCTCAGCGACAGCCCAGAAACCTGACTGATCTAGAGAAGATCTGTGTGGAGGAGTGGGCCAAAATCCCTCCTGCAGTGCAAACCTGGTGAAAAACTACAGGAAACGTTTGACCTCTGTAATTGCAAACAAAGGCTACTGTACCAAATATTAACATTGATTTTCTCAGGTGTTCAAATACTTATTGCAGCAGTATCATACAAATAAATAGTTAAAAATCATACATTGTGACACTACAATGACAATTTCAGACCCCTCCATGATTCTAAGTGGGAGAACTTGCAAAATAGCAGGGTGTTCAAATACTTATTTTCTCACTGTATATAATGGTCTGATTTCTTTTTGTTTAGTATGTTGGTCACACATCATCAGACAAATAATAGAAGAAATATTAGATAAAGATAACACAAGTAACCACAACATGCAGTTGTTAAATGAAGGTTTTTATTATTAAAAGGTAGTGTGTAAGATTTTGTGGTATCTAGTGGCGAGGGTTGTGAATTGCAACCATCTGTCCAGTCTACCACTGCCCCCCTAGAGCATAGACAGCCACTGTAACTTTTTTTGGTAGATATATTAAGAAACTATATTTACTTAATTATTCAGTAAAACCATATGTTTTCTGACTTCGCCACTGACAGATAACGTGGAAAATGTAAGTCAAGAGTGTGTAACATTGTCACTGTTTCTGCAACACAGTCTATTATAAACCACACATTAGACAAAGTTTATACAAAGATTGAGAAGGAAAACACATTCATTCTCTGTGGTTAAGTCTCCATGCCAAAACTGCCTGCCAGAAATAATATCTAGCCCATGGTCAGATTACAGTGCTTTGATAGCGGCAAAAAATATAAATAAATACTTTGATAGCAGTTAGGGCTGAACAATTAATTGCATTTGCGATATTATCGTGAAGTAATAAAACGAGATTTCCTAATCGCAAAAGCTGCGATTACACTCTGGTCACATGACACCCAAGCGGAAAGTTGATGCTTTGTCTGTACATTACACTGTACCTTGGCTTCTTGTTGTACAATGGCCTTAAACTTGACAGAAGCTGACACTATATAAACTTTAGTCTATATACACATAAGGAATGAAAGTAGCAGCAGCCGCCCACGGGTAACATGGTGGGTGAAATCGTCGGGCCATCCGCCGCTTTGACAGATAGGAAAAATGCACAACAGAAAGACACGTGTAGTAAGGTACACACACAGCCACCAGTCAGCTCAGAAAATATCAGTGAAACGGCGTTTCAGACCAAACTCACAAGTTCGAAAGAGGTCCAGTCTGTCCCGGGTTACAGCCTGGTTACAGCCAGAGCGCCGCTTACCAGCATCAAAGGCTGCGGGGGAGGAGGTGGGGGGGAACTTCGGTGTTGTCGGAGATTTACTAAGCTTGTCTATTAAACACGAGAGGCGACACTTATTACACTTATTTTTGTTGGCCAACTTTTGAATTGAACCTCAAACTCAGTATTTTTTATTAGCTTATTGCGATATAAAAAGACGGACTAGGAAATCTGAACACCGATTTGCTGCTTGTCCATTTTGAATAAAACAGAAGGTAAAGAGCTTAAAAATTAATCGCATATTAAATCGCAAAAAAAAATCACAATTAGATTATTTTCCAAAATCGTTCAGCCCTAATACCAATGCTGCAATTGATCTGTCATAACAGCAACAGTATCACTTCCTCTTTAGTAGTTTCGCCTTCAAAATAAAAGCACAAGAAGCTTGTTTATTGCAGTGTTGTATTTGGAGTTGAACCAAGCTTTTACTTTGAAAAATTCTGAAAGACATTAATAGAGTTAGTAGCCTGCTTGACACACCTCTAAAAGAGCCGTCAGAAAACGTGATTCCCCTAAATGTCCTCTGCCTGGAGATCCCGGGGAAATGCAAAAGCATCGGTTCATGGATGCCTATCAAACACTGAAACAAAAACAGTGCAGCACATGCCGTGATCTCAGAAACATTTGCTGCAGAAACCATTTATTGAAGAGAGAAAGTTGTCCCGAGGTGGGATCAAACATAACCCTTAAGATGCGAGTCCTGTGCCTTACCGACTGAGGTGACCAAACAACATATTGTTGCAAAAGTTATTTGCTGACCCCTGCTGTATATTATTACTACTACTTCTACTTCTAATGTACGTATTCAACATAGTGATGAGTGTCTACACTGCCTGAATTCTACCAGAAGTAGAACAAGAACGTAGTGAAGAAGCATGCTCTGTAGGGCTGTTTGTCCATTTTAAGCTACTGTAGAAACAACAATGCAATGTGGCGACGTCCATTACATTTATTCATTTAGCTGACACTTTTATCCAAAGCGACTTACAATTGCTATTTATGTCAGAGTCTTGCTCAGGGACACATTGGTGGATGTATCAAAGTGGGGAGCTGAACCCGGGTGTCTCACACCAAAGGCCTGTGTCGTATCCATTGCAACATCGCCACCCCTATGGAAGGGGTGACCCACAGTTATGTAGATATAAATGGCACATTCCAAGATAGTAAAAACATAATGGTTTATTATGTAAGGTCTTAACACATCACTGAAAACAGTTATGGATCTTACATTGCATTTCTGTCAATAGATCCTCAGAAATACTAAACACTGAACCTTTAAGGGGGTAGGGGGGATCCAAAACTACATGGCCCTGTGTGAAAAAGTGATTGCCCCCCTGTTAAAACCAATCAACTGGTTTATCACATCTTTGGAAAGCCGAGTTCAATTTCTCTAGCCACACAGGCTGATTACTCCCACACCTCTACTCAATCAAGAAATCACTTAAATAGGACCTGCCTGACAAAGTGAAGTAGACCAAAAGATCCTGCGATCTGAATAGGAGCTTCTTGAAGAATCAAAGAGAATCTTTTATTTAAGATGAAACATTTCAAACTTGAGCTGACATGTCTTCACCTCAGCTGGAGCCAACTTGAGTGAATCTGTCTCTTTGCATTGACTCGATTTGGATTTGCTTTTAGTCTGAAAAAAACCTTATTTCAGTAATAGAAAATAAAAAGTGAATATAGATGTAAAATACAGATTATTTAATGTGGTGGTGGCGCAGTGGATTAGACAAAGCCTCTGGTGTGAGAGACCCACGTTCAATCCCCCACTGTGACCCATCCACCATTTTGTCCCTCAGCAAGACACTTAACCCCTCGTTGCTCCAGAGGCGTGTAACCGCTAACGTTTATAACAATTGTACGTCGCTTTGGATAAAAGCATCAGCTAAATGAAAAAATGTAAATGTAATGTAGGTGATTGTCGATATCGATTACCAGTTATAAAGCGTGCGAACATCGACAACCCCGCTATATTCAAATGTTAATATAGCTCTCCGTATTAACCAAGCTCTTTACATGTTTACTAATAACTTCATTCAAGCTGGGTCTCTGACATTGACAGAGTTGTTTGAGACAGATTTGTGCAACGGTGTTCATGAGAGCGAGAGCGAGGGAGCGAGTGGAGGTGCTGCGCGAATACTCCTAGTAAAAAAAAAAAATCTATACGTGGCGGTCAGTGTTGATATGGTGGCGGACCGCCACAAATAAATCAATGTGTGGTAAACACTGCATCTATAATAAAGGAGTCTGAACACAAGCCTCACTACCTCTTTGTTTTAGCTTTTGACCACATCCCATGGTCTTCTTAGAGTCACTTAACCCCCAAACTTCTTATTTCACCTGATTACCAATGTGTATGGGTATTTAGTAGTGTTGTTGATGGATTCAGGTCCAAATCTGAATATTTTACTGTAAACTATTCTATGTATAGTGCTACAAAAATGCAGAGACTGCCCTCTACTGGTTGTAACCTGGCTACTGCAATTTAATTCGCTGTTGTAATGCTTTCCAGCTCTTTCCAAATCAAACTTTCTAAGCTGTCACCACATGACATTAGTCCAGCACCGTCACATGATAACAGGTGGTTGTATTCAGGGCAGGAGGAAACAGCTAGCTTGGCACTGGGAAAAATGTCACAATGATGCTTTGTCAATGCATTTGTGTCTTTTAAGGGTTCTCCTGTTGGTATAAGATTTGCCACATTGGCCACAGCTATGGTTTATCTCAGTGTGAACACGTTGGTGAATTTTTAGGGTACCTGATTGAGCAAAAGTTTTTCCACACTGTTCACACCAGTACGGTTTCTGTCCAGTGTGAACACGTTGGTGGATATTTAGGGTACCTAATTGAGAAAAAGTTTTTCCACACTGTTCACACCAGTATGGTTTATCTCCGGTGTGAACACGTTGGTGGATTTTTAGGGAACTTAATTGAGCAAACTTTGTTCCACACTGTTCACACCAGTACCATTTCTCTCCAGTGTGAATACGCTGGTGGACTTTTAGGGCACAAGATGTAGTGAAAGATTTCCCACACTGATCACAGCTGTACAGTTTCTCTCCAGTGTGAACACGTTGGTGGATTTTTAGGTCACCTGATTGAGTGAAAGCTTTCCCACACTGATCACAGCTGTACAGTTTCTCTCCAGTGTGAACACGTTGGTGAATTTTTAAGGTACCTGACTGAGCAAAAGATTTTCCACACTGTTCACACCAGTACGGTTTCTCTCCATTGTGAACACGTTGGTGGATATTTAGGGTACCTGAACGAGCAAATGTTTTTCCACAGTGTTCACACCAGTACGGTTTCTCTCCATTGTGAACACGTTGGTGGACTTTTAGGGAATCTGATCGAGCAAAAGTTATTCCACACTGTTCACACCAGTACCGTTTCTCTCCAGTGTGAACACGTTGGTGGATTTTTAGGGCACCAGATGTAGTGAAAGATTTCCCACACTGGTCACAGCTGTACAGTTTCTCTCCAGAGTGAATACGTTGGTGGATTTTTAGGACACCTGATTGACTGAAAGATTTCCCACACTGGTCACAGCTGTACAGTTTCTCTCCAGTGTGAACACGTTGGTGGATTTTTAGGGTACCTGACTGAGCAAAAGTTTTTCCACACTGTTTACACCAGTGACGTTTCTCTCCAGTGTGAACACGTTGGTGGATTTTAAGGTCACCTGATTGAGTAAAAGTTTTCCCACACTGGTCACAGCTGTGCAGTTTCTCTCCAGCGTGAACTCTCTGATGAATCTTCAAATATCCAGATGTTGTGAAGGATTTGTCACAGTGCTGACAGCGGTGACGTTTGAGTCCATTTCTTCCTCTCCTTCTCTATATCAACAGAGAGAAACACAGTAAGTCATGGTGGAGCGAGCTATCTAAAACCATAAATGACAGAGCACATCTTTGAAATCACCTGCTACCCTACTACGAGTATGTACTGTACACTAAATATATGATTGGTATGCTATTACCATGTATGCCCGACTGTTCACACTGAAGTACTCAAGGAAACTTTGTAAAGGCCACTGTTTGCTTTTGGAGGTAAAACAAAAAAATTACATGTGAAAATGTGTGTAAATGCATACAACTGGAATTATTTTGAAAGCACTGCAGGAAGTGCAGAAAGGAGAGATGAATTGCCTGGAAATCTGCAGAACTGGGAGTTGGAAAAGTTTTGCTACGTGTGGTGAAAAAAATCACGTGACAACGTATGATGGCCAGATGAGTCGCATAAGCAACAGTAAATGACCTCTACTTGTATCAACCCTTGAAAACTTTGCCACCTTGTCAAACTGAACCCTATAAATCATTGAGCTACATTTTCATTATTAAATATCATAGGCCTTATAAATACATTATTATTTTTATAATTACTACTGATAATTATTAAAACAAACAATTTTAAGAGGGGGGGTTTGGGGGTCCACCCCCTGAAAGATTTGGGCTTTAAACATGTAATTTCCTGCATTCTGGTGAATTTTTCCGCACCAATTCATTGAGGAAATGTCTTTATTTATATAGAAGGAAACACAAAATTCAGGTGACAATTCAAAAGATAAAAATATATGGTGTAATACAGTGCTGTAAGGCTCTCAGGCATTCTGTATTGCTCTCAAATATGTTTCTCCTGTTTCTCATTTTATTTCATCCCTGCTGAGTCAACACACATGCAGACATGACTGAAGTAACCTAAAGTCTTTAAATGTGCACGTGGCACCTTTTCACCTCAATGATAAATTAATTCATTTTAATTCAGTTATGAACCCGTGCACCTTAACAGCTCTTATGTTTCAGCAGGTTTTCTGCTTATGTTCAAATCTTCCTTCACACAAATCTCTCCCACATACATATGTGTTCTCTGACATATGCAGAATAATAATTTGAGATATAATATTACGAGATATGAGACTGAAGTCATTAAATTTTAACAAAATATACCTGCCCCACTTCTGTGCATTACCTTGCGTTATTGCTCTGCTGATATGGTAGTAGGCTACCCCCCCCTTCAACCGTCTGACCAACACAGAGCCCGTCTCACTGCTCTTGATCAGAGGTAGAACTGAAAACACTTGTGATCAGACAGAAATATCACCACACATTCAAACAAATGTTCAATTCAGCACCTCTGAAAAAATCAGTGTACCCCCAAGATTCTCAAACTTAAATTTAAGACTTTTTAATACCATCTAGGATAAAATTTAATACCAACTTCACTGCCGTATAATGGAAAATCTCTATGAATTTTAAGCCTGAGAAAATTATTTACAAAAGATACACTTTGTGTTGAAAAGTGGTGGGGGTTCAGATTAGGGGTGTGATGATACACTTAGCTGCATGAACGATTCACAATATTGGGTTAACACTATTTGATGAAATACTCAGTGCTGAAATATACAGGTGCTGGTCATTTAATTAGCATATCATCAAAAAGTTGATTTATTTCAGTAATTCCATTCAAAAAGTGAAACTTGTATGATGTATAGGTGAGCTGGAAAACATCAGCGCGAGCTGTTGTTTACGTTATCTTTACCTTGAATCTAATCGGTTTGTTTGATTATCTTGTGTCTGCAGTTGATGTTTGACTGTATGTTACTTTTACAAATGTGGTGATGTAGCTGTGTGTTTGTAGTTATGAGAAAGACATTTCAACGTTAGTATACATAAACAATGAAGGCCAAAGGATAGTTTGACAATGTTCACAGCTAAACCTACTGTGTGAAAACCTTTTACTGTAACTGCCATTAATTATTTTACCAGAAGTAAAAAAAATCCTGTATGTTTTATTTCTACTGTGCCCTCAGGTCACCTGCAGTCTTCCAACACCCTGTACTTCACTGATCAGACCATGCTGGCTGGCCTGGATTACAACCACCGTGTCCACAGTCCAGCCAGGAGAAAAGCTGATGACACAGTTCAGTATGTTGCATTATGAGAACTCTTGTGCATTTTACTCAATACATTTATAAGTGATGAGTCAAAAAAATATTAAACAGTTTGAGGAATACAGACAGATGGTGCTGATTTATTGATGTGATTGCATTTTATGTGGAAATGCTAACTGCTCTATAAGAGAATGATGTCAGGTGTTACAAACTTTTCACTAAGCTGATCCTCCTTTCTGTATTATCAGGTACAGCAAGGTGTACAACAAAAAGTACAGGAAGTGGAGATTGTACTCATTGAAGGTGAGAAGGACTACAGTTACAATGCAGACCTCCAGAGTGCCGTCATCCTCCTCCTCCTCCTCCTCCTCCTCCTGTTGTCTGCTACTGAGGAGATGCCTAGAAGCAGAACCAGGAGACCTGATGATCCCCGTCAACATGGGTTCAGTCAGGTGTCCCTGCCCCAACTGTGATACAGCAAAATATAAATCAAAAGTAAAATGGTTGGTTTTGAAATGTGGTAATCATGTCAGAGAGGTGACTGTGATATATTTAATCATCTCCACAGCAGCGACACGAGTAAAGTCTGAACTGTCTTCATAATCAGTCAGGACACCTCTGGACAAACTTTGTCTTTCTTCCTATATATACTTATTTTTATTTGACGTTTAAAAATAATCTATTTGTGATACAGGTTGTAGTTTTAGTAGTATTTAATAATAAACAAGTGTTATACCACATTTGGATGTCTTTTCAGACATAAATGTAGTTGTTTGATTGTTTATGCTATAAGTGTAAAGAAAAGGCATTTATCAATTTCAATGTTTTATTTAAAAAAAGAATGAAAATAACATCCAGAACAGGGAAAAATACTTTGTATTTTCTCTCCCCTCCTGGGAATAAAACAAGAACAATGTACAGGTATTTATCCAGTGGATGGAATTATTTGTGTAGCAGTTAGTGACATTACGTCTTCCACCCTGCTAGGATTAAACCTCTGTATTGTCCTGGTGGATCAGGAGAACAGTTGTGAGTCTTCCAGAAACAGCAACTCAGTATCATGACTCTGTGTCTAAGTGCTCCACACTGCCACACTACAAACTGTCTGTATGCTGCCTGACTGAACTGCCTGTTACTCTGTCCTGAGTCTGGAAGATCAGCCATGTGTGGTGCATGGAAACACTGTAGTCTGGATGTTGTCCACAGTCCTCAGATTCTGGCCTGTAAAGGAATATATAGTTGTTAGAACCCCAAATGGGAAAGATTGGTGTAATTGGAAAGAACATTCATCAACATGATCAGATATTTTTATTGAACAGGGGTTTGTTGTTTCTAACAGGACTTCTGTGTCCACATTACACACCAGGTCAATGTACATGACACAGATGAGCCGATGGCTGCAGCAGAGCTGTAGTTAGTTGTTGTAATCAGTAAACAAAAGTAATAACCACAGTGATCGATTACACATTGATAAAGCACTTTATTTTTGACAGTCAGAGGGCTTAGAGGGAAACACCAGAGGAACTTTGAGACACAGAGAAATAATGTACTGATATTAAATATATGTATATATACACACCTGTTCATATGCTGTTGTTGGAGTGTGAAGCTCGACGCAGGTATGTGCTGCTCCGCTTGCACCTCGTCCTCCCCGTCCTCCCTTTTCCTCGGACCCCAGCAGCCCTCCCTCCTCTGCTTCGCCTCGACCCCGGTCCTGTCCCGGTCTGTGCTTGGCTCTGGGGTGCAGTCCTCAGAGACAATACTGCTGTCACCATGGAAGCTCTAACATGCAAAACAACGTACGTGTTATGAGTCTAGCACGAAATTCACCTTCGTGTAGTGTAACTGATGGAAACAGGAAAATGTGTATCAGTCTGTTTTTAGCTTTGCCCAATGTTAGCACAGCTGTTAGCACAGCTACCTGATGCTAACAGTTAGCTAGCCAGCTCGTTACTGAATCAAAGTCAGTCTTTTTAAACCGATCCAATATTAACATGCTAGCTTGATAGTGAGTACTAACAGCTGGGTTAGTTGTTTATTTTCATAATGATAAAGTTCGATGTTTTCTTACCCCTCATGTGAGATTCACAAAGAGTGGACTGCAGCTGGAGTCAGTGCTTCAAGAACCACCACGCACAGACGTATGCAAGACATGGGTTTCAGCTGTGCATTCCTTGTGTCAAGCCACTCTTGAACAAGACACAGCGTCAGAAGCGTCTCGCCTGGGCTAAAGACAAAAAGGACTGGACTGCTGCTGAGTGGTCCAAAGTTATGTTCTCTGATGAAAGTAAATTTTGCATTTCCTTTGGAAATCAAGGTCCCAGAGTCTGGAGGAAGAAGGAGAGGCACAGAATCCACGTCGCTTGAAGTCCAGTGTAAAGTTTCCACAGTCAGTGATGGTTTGGGTGCCATGTCATCTGCTGGTGTTGGTCCACTGTGTTTTCTGAGGTCAAAGGTCAACGCAGCCGTCTACCAGGAAGTTTTAGAGCACTTCATGCTTCCTGCTGCTGACCAACTTTATGAAATAAATCAACTTTTTGATGATATTCTAATTATATGACCAGCACCTGTATTTCCAGGAGAAACACCTAAAACCAAAGTGAGTCAGAAATAACTCCTCAACCCTTAAGCTGTGTTCACACTGAAAGCGAATCCAGCATTTTGGGCGGCTTGATTAGATAGAAAGTCAATGCAAAGATACAGATTCCCTCGGGGTTGTGCGGCAGAGGCGTTTGTCCCAACATTCGCCGGTTCGCTCAAGTTCAAATTTTTCAACTTCAGCTAGAAATTTGTTTGACGCAATGTTGCGAAAGCCAAGCGAGTTTTTCCAAACGTCACAGACGGATCCAGAGCATGGTTTGGACCAGGGAGAGCGGGGGAGTGACGCCGCTGGCCGACGGAGAGCTGCTAAAGTACGGGGGTAGTAAAGTACGCTGCAGCTCCTGGACCAGCGGTGTCTCCCCTTTCTGAGAGTCTCATGTGCCCACACGGATCTCAGTTTCCCCGTCTCCTGCGTGTTTGTAACCTCACACACTCAAACAGCGTCAGAGCAGGCGCTCTGTTTTTTAGCAACAAAAGACTCAGACCTGTGAGTTGTGATCAGGTTTCTGATAATATGAAAGTTATTAATTAGCGGCAAACCAAAGATTACAGATCGCTGGCGCTGTAATCTTTGATTAGACATAAACATCAAAAAACCGCAGCGCTTTGATCTTTTCTAAATTCAACCAAAAGCCATTGCTGTGCGCCTCGCGTTTTCGAACCCGCAAAACGCTTTCTGTCTGATCGGGGCCTGAGGCCCCCGGGGGGTCCCGACCACCAGGTTAAGAACCACTGATTTAGAACATTTTTATCATTAAAACACCTCATTTCCTGCATTCACGAGACATTTTCTGCACTAATTTATTTTCAATTAATTGTCTTTATTTAAAAAATGTGAAACAGTAAAATTCAGGTCACAATTCAAACAGAATATAATGCAGTGATCAGCAGCTTGTTTTCTAGCTTAAGTTACTTTTTTTGGACATTTGTTGTGAGAATAAGATAATTTTGAAGAAAAGGACACTGGAAGCAACTGGTTCTGGTTCTTGGGCGCCTTCACAGAAAGCTGTTTGACTGCCTGAAAAATATACAAGCCATATAGTAACATGATTTGCCTGCGCTTTAACTCTGATTGCCTGCGACTGATGATCATTGCCTGCAAAAGCGCAAAGTTAAAGTGAGAAAGCTGTTTTTGTTTGATATACTGTTTTATATTTGAATGTGTCTCTGCAGTCTCTTGTGCCCTGACCTTTGCTCGGCCTCCGGAGGCCTATGGTTGTGCATGATCAGATTTCAGATTAGACCATGTCCAGTAAAGAGGAAGTGAAAGTCCGATCTTGCTGGCAACCATTTAAATAAAACGGGTCTCCCTGACAACTGATGTGTGTATCATCGTGCACATGAGGGGAGGCGTGAAAAGGTGTGAAAATAATCAGAGGGTCAAGAGTTTTCATCTATATTATTTGAGTTTATAATATTCCTAATTTTAAAACTTTTTTGCTAAAACATTTTATATGTATCCCCTGATGATGTCTAAATAATTTTCTGCTTTTCTAATGATAACGGAGAGGAGGAGAAGCTGTGTGTCCGAGTACTGTAAAAACAACATAAACCTAAACTGAACGTGACAGAAGTTAAAGGAAGTTGAAAACGTTACAGAAAGCAAACAGCGGCAGGTCTGAGCTACTGTAGCGTTAGCTGGCTGCTTCACTGTAGGCTAATGTTAGCAAACAAATCGCTCCACTTTTCAACGTTATATCATTTCTTGCAGGCTGAATCGACAGTGGTACACAGGACAGTAACATGGGGCGCGTTAACATATTTAGCGGCCAAAATAATAAATGGCCTTTTTTGTCACATAAGTAAGGAAGTTAGCTTTAGCTTTGTCAGCTAGCTAGCATGCTAACACCCAGGCAGCAGGCTACATGCTACAAGAGACCTCCTCCTCCTGCTCTCCTCCTCCTCCTCCTCCTGCTCCTCCTCCTCTCCGGTTCCGACCGTCACATTAAGTGTGGGTTCTGTAGAGATACGGGGTTCTGATGGCTCCACTGTTGAATCCTGCTACATTACATCTTGTTTACAGTCAATATGAAGCTACGTGTCGGAACCAGGCCGAGCTAACGCCACGTTAGCTTCTTGTTAGCTGCTAGCTGTGTTCATGAACACTGACCTGAACATCGGTGCTATCAGAGCTCGAGCCTGCTGTTTGTCCTCCGGGGACGTTGTTGCTCCGGGGCTCCGGGTCCTGGTTGTCCTCCTCCATCCCGCTCTTGGTCCTGGTCTCTCAGATCCAGCAGGTCTCCTCTGGGACTGACGGAGCTCTTCAGATCAAGTCCTGCAGCCCGCGAGACGTGACGGAAGTTAAAGGAAGTTGAAAACGTGATGACGTTTATCTCTGTCTACGTAAATATATAACTATAAATTAATAAGAGACATTATATTTTAATGACAAGATTATTTTAACCTCTTTATCTTTAATGAGAAATATTAGATTCACAAATGCAAATGGTCTAAAAAGAAACCACAAATTCAACATTTCAAAATAAAAATCAACATTATTTAGAAAAGTTATTTGGTCTAAAGAATAGTAAAGTAGTTAAAACAGTTAAAATATTATAAAGTTTTTCTTTAATGCCTTTGTTGCTTGTTACATGATACCACTTTGTCAAGATCAACTTTATTGTCCCCTGAGGGAAATTTGTCCCGGACATCAGTGCCACAGACAGCTGGAGTACAAACAATAACACACATTGCATTGCACAAGTATTTGAGACACTAACCTTATCAGTAATTGATGACTGAAATAATAAAATTAAAAAAACAGTAATATTGAAACGACTAATAACCAAAACCACAAATTCTAAAAATATATTAACTAATTTATCATGTATATAGTTGTATCATGCTTTATTATCTTAATAATATTGTAAAGAAATAATATTTTGAGGGTCTATACATAAATGTTGATATTTATTAACATTAAAATGTGGCTTTTGTATGTTTTATAATGTCAATAATTGAATAACTGTGCTTTTTTTAGCTTTTAGAGGGCAGCCGTGGCTCAAGAGGTAGAGTGGGTTGCCCGTTAACCGAAGTGTCCTTGGGCAAGATTCTGAACCCCAAATTGCCCCTGGTGGCTGTTCCACCAGTGTATGAATGTGTGAATGTTAGTTTCTGTGGAAGCACTTAGGCTCAGTGTATGAATGTGTTGTACTGTAAAAAGCGCAAATACTAGAAAGGTGCGATACAAATACAGAGCAAAGTTCACATCATGGGAATAAAGTTTCAAATACGTGCATTTAACACAGGCTAACTATAACTTGAAAACATAATTTTTAGTGTCTATGTTGTTTGGTATGTTATTAATATGGAATAACAATGATTAAATTTTTTATTATTTTATTTTGTTATTTTATTTATTTTATAAACGTATTTAATGCTTGTAATAGTATACTAATATACTATGTAATTATATAATGTAATAAATATTAACGCATCATGTACATTGATTACTACGTTGAACCTTACATAACGGCTCTTCCTGGGCCGAGCAGCCGAGAGAAACCTCATCACGTTTTGTGCACAGTGTCTTCTGGGACAAACTATATTTGGAAGTTGAACTTCCTTCACGATGTTTATGAAGATTCTCAGTCATCCAGGTCATAGTTATTCAACGAAGGTTAAAATCAAGGGCAACTGGACTTGGTTGAAGACACTGGAAGACGTTTCGTCCCTCATCCAAAGGACTTCTTCAGTTCTGACTGACTGGCAGGGAAACTCAGCTATTTAACCTCAGTGGGGTCGTTGGCCCGGGTCATCGATACCGCTGGTTCGTTAGTGTTCCTTGTTGCTGTGACGACAGTCGTTACAGTCGTTAAGACTACCTGTGGCCAAGACTGAACGACCATCGTTGGTATCTTCACCTGAGGCCAATAGGTTACGTTTGTTGAGTTTCCTGGGAAGTGATGAAAGGACAGCATTGTAAGTGGGGGAAGTGGTGGCGTAGACCCCCTCCCCTGTTCAATGACGGCTTCTCAACCCTGGTGTAGATGCTTCCTTGACACCTCTTTCAAACCATCCATCTTATCTGTCTAAAATGTGCACCTGTGGTCCTCAAACGAGTGTCCTCTGTCCTTCAGATGTAAGTAGACTGCAGAGTCTTGACCTGAGGAGTTGGCCCTTCTGTGTTGAGATGGTCAATGATGGTCGTGAGATGGTCAATGATGGTCGTGAGATGGTCAATGATGGTTGATTTTAACCTTCGTTGGGGACTTCCTTCACGTTTGTCAGCTGCAGCTGGATCTCCTTCAGATACAGGAGGAGATCAGTCTTTCCCTGTTAACAAGTGGCCGTTTTCTGATAAAGCAATATCATCTTAGTAAAAAAAACTTGTTAGAGGAGAAATTAAGTTGCGATGGTAGCAGCAATACAGTGCCTGAATTTATTACATTAACATTGTGCTGTAATTTGAGTTTTCTCTTCTCTAGTTTTTATTCATTCTTATTTTTATTTGATATAATGATAATTATTTATTATTTGTACGTTTGCAGTGGATAGGTCTAAGTATGCCTTTTGGGTGGTAGTCCGGGGTTGGATCCAGAGGCTTGTCACACCTGACATATCAAGCAGTGTTGGGCATAGCGTCGCTACAAGTAGCACCGTTACTAGTTTACTACTACATTTCTCAGTAGCTTGGTTTCACATATAAACAATAAAAAATATATAATTAATTAATAACGTGATAATTAAGTTACTTTGTACAAACAACAATGGTTGATGAACTACAGCTGAAATGATATGGCACTCAGTAGGAGTTTCTCTCTTGCACACACTGTTTGAAGCAGGTTTTAGTCTTTCTTCTATTGCTACTGTGGAATGAAGTTAGTTCAATATAAACTAGGCCTAATGTAGCTTGTAGCTTGCCCAACACTGAGCTATTGTAAGTCTCTTGGATAAAAGCATCAGCTGAACTAATAATTCTTGTTCTGTATTTTTGTCATTGTGCTGCTGTAACACCCGAATTTCTCCTCCAGGGATCAATTAAGAACCATCTTATCTTAAATTTGTGTTATTAAATCCAACTTGCACTAAGCCTAAAACTCTCGGCTGGACAGTGTTCAGGTGGATGAACACATTTGTGGTGGAAATGACTGAAATCTGAAACTGCAGACGGTTAAATCCTCTAATGAGTGTTACACTCTCGCTTCACTTCATTCTTATTAATGTGACTCACAGATTTTAAAGACGTATAGAGGCTTCAAAAATCTACATTTGTGTAAATAATTTGTCCCGCAGAGTTTATCAAAGCAGCATTACTATATTGGTAGAGGGAGACTCTGTTCTGTTCTTCAGACTCCAAACAGCCTTAAAAAAGTTCAGGTAATTAAGTTTACTTCAATATTGCTGAGGACCTTTACCTTTCAGAGCAACGTGTTTGAAACTCTGAGGAGTGCAGAGGGTTAGACTGGTGGACTAGTTACACGCACAGGCAAAGATTCATGTGTTCTGCCTCTGATTTGCAGGAGGGGTAGAGTGTGAGAATATATAGACTGCATACGCCAAAACTGTAAGATGTTTTAATTGATATACCGCTATTATTCTGTCATTACGTTCTGAGTAATACTGTAACATTTTAACTTAAATCAAGAGACATCTGTCAAAAATTCATGGCTTGTGAAACTTGTGAAGCGCTTTGGAAAAATTAAAAGCTAAACAGAAGTAGTAAGAAAGAGAGCTGTCGCTTTATTATTATAAATCGACTTTAGCGTACAGGTGTGGTTACAGTTCTTGTCTTTTGTTGGCTTTTAGTTATATAATTCCTATTAATGCACAAAAGCAAAATCACTGTAAGTTAAAAGCTACTTTGCAATAAACCTGATTTTGAGCTTGTTGTTTTGGTGATGAAGTCTGGCTATTTTCTTGGAGTCTGCTTGTTGATTGGTCGGCTGATCTAATGGACTGTAAAAGTGGACATTAATATTCCTCCAGAAGTGTAAAAGGGAATAACAGCAGCAGCAGAGGCTCCGAATGTCTTCGTGATGATTCTGCAAATGAAGATGATTCCATGTGTGTGGAATCCAAATCAGAAATGTCTTAATGCAATACATCTTTATTGCTCTCTCAATCTGGGCCTGAATCCTGAAGCTGGTCTGGGTATCATGAAGCTGCTTATGGACTGGCTCTGTTAACTCAGCGTTTTCCATCCAGCTCCGAGTGTGTTGATGTGAAACAGGACGAGTTGTTCGTTCCAACATCATCATCATCACTAGGGGTGTTTAAGGGAAATTGAAATGATGTAACTCATATCTAAGTCTACTTTAGCTCAGTTTTAGGATTTCTTTTTATTTCCTCTTCTGATATCCTTTAACACAACTCCATACATTTCAGTCCAATCACTCGTCACAGATCGATCACTGTGTTCCATCATATCAATCCAACGATTTTCTTTTAGCACAGCAGCTTTGTTGTTCTGACCTACAATGAACTCAGATTTTAACCAGAAGGTGAATCATAAAGCAAATCAAATATAGCTTATGACTTTGCAGTGATGCACTTGAGTGTTATCTGTCCTGATGTATCAGATCAGTTTGATCAGCTGCTGCGACCAATCAATATAACTGCTACCCAGTAAGGGCGTGTCAGTCAGTGAGACTTCCGCGAAGGATGCACTGGTGTATCCTCGCTTATAACTCTTCAATCCTCGCTCCTCAGAGCGCAAATAACAGCTTTGGGATGGTCTGCAAGATGGCAGAGCGAAACAACTTCCAGTTCAAACGAGGAGTGAGGAAACAACAAGAGACTTCAATCACCTTCTTGTGTCTGAATTAATGACAACTTTTAACAGGTTTTTTTTGTCTGTATTGGGAAAAATTTGGACTATAATAGACGTCCATCTTGGGCCAAAATCTTAGAAATGACAAAAAAAACAAAAAAACAAAACTGAAACTGAAAGTAGCCAAATTTGCAGCAACTTTCTTTGTGACCACGACCGACTTACCTAATTTAATCCAAAATAAAATATATGTATACCAAATGTATACCAAAACATTTAATATGGTTTAAACAGCTTGAGGTCCCAACATGCAACACAGTAATGTGTGTCCTTCATACCTTCATAGTAAAAATGCCTCATAGACAAATATCGTAATCTCTCCAATACTGACAACAGAACCAACGTCTGAAGAAAAACTTGTCTTTGTGATCTTTATTAAAGTAAGAATAACAGAGTGATCAGCTGAAGGGCAGAGCTCATACACCAGAGGGCTGTTAGAGAGTCTGACCCAGAGAAACAGAGAAGACATTTAATGCTAGAGAATAATTGTGGAGTCCAACAGAAAAGCCTTTCTCAGCCTTGAGCCACAGTGGAAACTCCTTTCTCACAGGAAAGCATGAAACAAAACAATCTCACAGAAGGTCATTATATCAAACACTGGTACACTTAGTGGAAATTATAACACCACATAAGATGAGCAAAGAACATAAAGTAATGACATATAGAGGATTATTAAAAGTACAGACAGGTAAAATCTTTTTGGGGGTGGTGATGGCGCAATGGATAAGACTATCCCTGAGCAAGACACTTAACCCCTAGTTGCTCCGAGGCGTGTGACCTCTGACATATATAGCAATTGTAAGTCGCTTTGGATGAAAGCATCAATTAAATGAATAAATGTCAATGTTTCTATTACAGTTCCCCCTTCGGCCGTCACATGGTCACATTAAGTTATAACAAATTGTCAGTTCATCAATGAATGCTCTCATCTTACTGTTTAAGCAGACACATCATTAGTAGACAAAATAAATGGTAGAACAGAGACATTCTTGAGTAGTGAGCAAGCTAAGAGATCAAAACATATTTAATTTAAGCAGTTTGGTCTAAATCATCAATTGTCATGATCAGGTGGATTCAATCAGGTGAGGCAGAACAGGAAGTGACTGGATCAGCTTCCCTCAGACTGATATATTTACATATTTATATATTAACAACAAGGACACATTAACTGTTGCAAACAGTACAAACAACAAGCAGAAGAGATGGTGCATGGGTTGGTGCAGGAGCCACTTTGAGAGGTTTGTTCTGCTTCAAAGAAGAGCTTCCGCTTTCTAGGGGCTTTTCTCATTTCCCAAATTTGTGCCATCTCGATCCTCGACTCCTCGCGGCGTGTCCAAGTCCATCCCATCCTAGATGCAAGCTCGAGGAATAGAGGAGGAACACAAGGAGAGGAGTCGAGGAAACAGGCATTTAACAAAATGACAGCTGCATCATCTGTCCACTGGTTGAGCTGTGATCTCTGTCAGATAAGCAGACCAACTCTTTGCACTACATTTACTCATTTGGCAGACGCTTTAATCCAAAGCGACTTACATTTGAGGAACAACATACACGCATCAACAGAGCATCAAATACAGCACGAGATCTACAACTGGCAATACATACTAGAAAGAGCAGCATTAAAGGCTACAGATCATATCTTCACAATCCAGTAACGTGTCTGTCAACATTATAACGCATTGAAACATCTCAAGGTTCCAATAATCATTATAGCATCTGTTGAAAACAGTCAGATCGTAACCTAATCATTCACTACAGAGAAATAAGCGATAGGATACATCAATCTACCCTCGCTAATAGCTCCTCCAGCAAGCCTCCTCGATCCTCGATGTACATTTTAGGAATTGAGATGTCTTTCAAGATGCAACGCTGAGATCGATTTCTGGGTCACAGGCTCTGGGATCAAGGAGGCCCAAATTTGGGAAACGAGAAAGGCCGAACTTCGTCAGCTGTCATCAAATGACGTCAGTCCAACACAGTCACATGATAACAGGTGGTTGTATTGTACTGATGCTTTGTGAATGCATTTGTGTCTTTTAAGGGATCTCCTTTTGGAACATTGGCCAGAGCTTTACGATGTCACTGCAGTGTGAACACGTTGGTGGATTTTTAGGGCACCTGATTGAGTGAAAGTTTTCCCACACTGTTCACACCAGTACGGTTTCTCTCCAGTGTGAACACGTTGGTGGAGTTTCAGGTTACCTGATTGAGCGAAAGTTTTCCCACATTGTTCACACCAGTACGGTTTTTCTCCAGTGTGAACACGTTGGTGCTTTTGAAGTTCACTTGATGTAGTGAAAGCTTTACCACATTGTTCACAGCTGTGCATATTCTCTCCAGTGTGAACACGTTGGTGGATTTTTAGGTGACTTGATGTAGTGAACGTTTTTCCACACTGTTCACACCAGTACGGTTTCTCTCCAGTGTGAACATGTTGGTGGATTTTAAGGTGACTTGACTGAGTAAAAGTTTTTCCACAATGTTCACACCAGTGCGGTTTCTCTCCAGTGTGAACACGTTGGTGGACTTGAAGTTTTCTTGATGTAATGAAAGCTTTCCCACATTCGTCACAGCTGTACAATTTCTCTCCAGTGTGAACACGGTTGTGGACTTTTAGGTCACTTGATGAGCGAAAGATTTCCCACACTGTTCACACCTGTACGGTTTCTCTTCAGTGTGAACACGTTGGTGGAGTTTTAGGTTACTTGATTGAGCGAAAGTTTTTCCACACTGTTCACAGCTGTACGGTTTTCTCTCCAGTGTGAATACGGTGGTGGATTTTTAAGTGACGTGATTCAGTGAAAGTTTTCCCACATAGGTCAGCTGTACAGTTTCCTCCAGTGTGAACTCTCAGATGAATCTTCAAATATCTAGATGTTGTGAATGACTTGTCACAGTGCTGACAGGGGTGACGTTTCAGTCCATCTCGTCTCTACAGCAACAAAGAGAATCACAGTAAGTGAGATATCATGGTGAAGCGAGCCATCTAAAACCATAAATGACCTTTGAGCACAAATTGAATATGTTCTGTCTATTACATACTCAGTCATACACACCTAGTATGTACTGCATACTAATAAATGATCAGTATGCTATTAGCATGTATGCCCGACTGTTCACACTTACGTACTCAAGCAAATTGTGTAGAAAGTGTGTAAATGCAGACAGCTGGAATTATTTTCAAAGCATTGCAGAAAATGCACAAGAGATGAATAGCCCGGAAATAAATCTCCTTAAAGAGCACACTTTTATTTTAATTGTTTCTGTGGTGCAAATTCTTCTGTGTTTGACTACTTTTGTGTAGAAGTAGTCAAACAACAGAAGAATAAATCCCATTGCATTTGTATCGATAAAAGATGTAAAACCGAATTCTTTGAATCTATATATTTATCTATCTATACACACACACACACACACACTGAACAAAATTATAAATGCTTTTAGTTTTTGCACCCATTCATCAGCTGAACTCAAAGATCTAAGGCTTTATGTCCACAAAAGGCCTATTCCTCTCAAATCTGAGAACTATGGCCTGATTTTTGTGTCAGTACAGACTGATTTTGAATGCTCTATTTGAATAATTGTATTAAATAATTCAATTTGAATTGCATAATTTGGATTTGGATTCATCCCTGAAGAGAACACCTCTGCAAAGTGCCACACGCCATCGAATGTAACCATCTGCCCACTCAAGTCGGTTACGGCAACGAACTGCCGTCAGGTCGAGACCCTGATGATGACGACGAGCATGCAGGTGAGCTTCCCTGACACGGTTCCTGACAGTTTCTGCAGAAATTCTTTGGTTATGCAAACCGATTGTTGCAGCAGCTGTCCGGGTGGCTGGTCTCAGACGATCTTGGAAGTGAAGATGGGATGTGGAGGTCCTGGGCAGGTGTGCTTACACATGGTCTGCAGTTGTGAGGCCGGTTGGATGTACTGCCAAATTCTCTGAAACGCCTTTGGAGACGGCTTATGGTAGAGAAATGAACATTCAACTCACGCGCAACAGTTCTGGTGGACATTCATGCAGTCAGCATGCCAATTGCACGCTCCCTCAAAACTTGTGACATCTGTGGCATTGTGCTGTGTGACGAGTGGCCTTTTATTGCGGCCAGCCTAAGGAGAAGTGCTCACTAACACAGAATTTGTGAACAATATTTGAGAGAAATAGGTCTTTTGTGTACATAAAGAAAGTCTTAGATCTTTGAGTTCAGCTCCTGATGAATGGGGGCAAAAACAAGTGTTGCGTTCATAATATTGTCAGAGTATAAGTTGAAGGTTAAATTTCAGCGGAGGGCTGTAACGGTTCTGAAACGGAGATAAAAATCGCGGTAGACGTGTAGGCCTGTTTTGTATTTGTATATATTGTTTTATCGACAAAAAAGAATAGTACGATGACACAAAACTGCAGTAAAAGGTACCATTACTTTTATTTTTAAGCTAACAGAAATAACTTAATATTTAAATAATCCTCTGAAGTGATAATCAGTAGGTCAGTCATGTCAGCAGGTACGCATGCTTGAAGTAATTGAGAGTTGAGTGTTGTATGGTCAAAGAAACAAAAATAACAAGGAGCGTGGAGCATAGAGAACAGGGTTCCCCTACGCTCTAGCCCACAGTGCAGAACATATACTGGAGAACACCGGGCCCAGGTGGCACCATTAACTGATGATCTTAAACACACCTACTGGCATCTGCAACATAGAACACAAAGAGAGAACATCCCAGCAGCTGAAAGAAATGGAGATGTCACAGTTGACAGTAGCTTATTCTAGGTCATGTTCCACCTTATTTTAGGGTTAATTTACTGCTTGAATCTGCTTCCTTTCTCTTCCCCCCACACATCACCTAGCCTCTACCTCTCACGGCAAACACGCCGGCTTGCTCGACCTCCTTCTGTCTGTCTCTCCCTGTATGTGTCCCTGCTGACTTTCTGCATCAGCAGTACCTTTCATAAAGTTGCCATGTTTAATAAACTCATCTGTGATTCAGTTTTCAAGTGTGCTGCAGGTGGGTCGAAACAAACTAATGTTAGTGACATCTGCAGTGGTGCGTTCACTGCTGTCCGCTTAATGTAATATCATCTCTCTCTCTCGCTCTGCAGAATGCTAAAGGTTGCCAAATACTTTGGCAGGTGCTACTATAGCTGGACGGCCCGTCCAAGTAACAGGATACAAAATTCTACACACTCGTTAAAATACCAGGTTCTTGTGATGTAAAAGAATGAGACAAAGATGAATCAGTCAGAACCTCGTCACCCTTTAATGTGACCTATAATGTGAACAATTCAATTAAAAAACAAACTGAAATAAAAAAAATAATATAATTTAAACCTTACAATAACCTGGTTGCATAGCTGTGCACGCCTTAGACTATACTTCTGATTTTATTACAGCAGTCAGTCTTTTTGGGTAGGAGTCTATTAGCATGGCACATCTTGACGTGGCAATATTTGCCCACTCTTCTTTGCAAAAGCGCTCCAAATCGTCAGATTGCGAGGACGTCGCCTGTCACAGCCCTCCTCAGATCACCCCACAGATGTTCAGTGGATTCAGGTCTGGGCTCTGTCTGGGCTATCCACCACATGATCACACACTCTTTCTGATGACAAAATGTGCTTACATTGTAAAACACAGAATTCAGAAAAATTAAAGGGGCAGTATGTATTTTCAGCAACGCTTTATTTTTTCACATGCTTTATGTGAGCATGTGAAAAAGTGTCCTTTTATAAAAAATTTTTAAAAGGGAGAAAAAAACATCTGCAATAGATGGAACGATCTCACTATCTACCCATCGGGAAGTCCCAACACAGAACCAACTGAACTAAACGCGCACATGATTTCATATGGTTTGACTTTGTTCTGGCCCGCCATATAATGGCTTGGAAAAATGTGGCCCGATGGCAGAATTACTTGCTGACCCCTGCTAAAGGCTATGATTGTTTTAATTTTATTATTTTATAATCTTCCATA